CACATACATACAGACATACAGACACCACCGCGGGGATAGTCAGGGAAGCTTCCTAGGGACTCAAAACGTCGAGATCTGATGAAAACTCGATTTTCGAAAAACGCGGTAAAAACAATAACTTCCTAATTTTTGAAAATTGTTAATTTTCTTAGCAGGAAGTTAATAAAAACCAAGATTACCAATGTCATCAACGCTCTTCGAGGATTCAAAACACTAGATGAGGAATGGCAGTCATCACGACGACACACTCCCCATGGTATACCGGAAAGGAGCAGACAAAATGCTATTGTAAACGTGGAAGTGATGGATACCGGTGGTGATGCCGACAATGAGTCAGTCGCTGAAGACCCAGAAAGAAGTCATTTCTGGTCGGCGAAAAGAAAAGAACGGAACTCGCCAGAACCAACAGATAGCCAAGCTAAGAAGAAGAAGGACCTGAAACCAAGCCCTCCGAAAAACATGGCGGTGCAATACGTCCATAAAAAGGAGGCGTCTAAATGGCAAATAGTCCAATCTAGGAAGGAGAAGAGGAAGCAGGCCAAAGAACAACTTCCTAAGTAACGACCGAATGAACCCCGACCGGAGCCTAAGCGAAAAAAACCGCGCAAACGGATCAGGTCGGACGCACTAATCATCCGCCCAGTCCGAGCTATCTAATAATTTTTTCTCGCATATTCTATAAACTCACATTAAGATGATCCTCTCCACAATCCTTTCTCAATCCTTTCCTACCAATTATCCTGTTGCGTGAATGTTGGAACGCTTCACGTAATAAATTATCCGTAACTCCTATTCTTTCCTGCTTCACAGCATTATTAGTAGATTTCATAAAAATCTAACTATTGCAGCCGTCCTCATGGCAAAACTTTTGAAAAATTTAGTCGTTTTCTGACTCAGTTTGGCGAGCTGAGTCAGAAAATGTATATAGTTCAAAAGTTTATATATGTATGTATTTATATATATATATATATATATATATATATATATATATATATATATATATATATATATGA